CCTTTCCCCTGATTCTCTCAGGCATGTTTTGTTTCTATGGTAACTACATGGAATATATAGGCCCAGCGTAACCGTCCCCACCCAATCACACAGGTGAGACACAAAAGTAACAACTAGTACCTATCCCTCCCTCCACAGAAGCGGCCGCGCTCAATGAAAGTCAAGAAAAACCATCACCACAAACTTCCTTTCTGTTGAAACAGAGAGGGCAAGTTCGATCGGGAAGAAATTATCAACCAACGGTCGGTTTTGACTGGTAACCTATGCATTAAATATATACTGGCCACCAGGAAAATCGACAAGTGGTTAGCAAATTGTGACCGATAGAACTTGCAAAGAATTTCAAAAGGCAGAGGATTGGAAGGTCGACTGCAACAAAGCATTAAAAAAAGACCAGACTGATTGGATTAACCCACAGATTTTCATTGAAGTCGTCGTTTGGCTGTTCTGTTTGTGTGTTTGTCTATAATTTGGTAACTTACAGTGAATGAATTTTTTAATTTTTTCTTATAATTTGTATATTTTTCTATTAATCTTTGTTAATGTATATAAAATTTCAACATAAAGTTAGGGCCTAATGGAAGACCACCATTAGGTGAAAAAGTTATACCCTGGATAAATATTAGAAATAAATGAATGAATAAATAAATACATGATCAAGTTCTGGGCCAAATGATTTACCTTCTTGTGAAGTACCCACATTGCCTGTTTTTCGTGGGATATTTTACACCTTTAAACTGATTATCGACAATTTTGTGATAAATTGTAATCTCCCCATCATTTGTCTGGTTGGTTTGACCTGCCTATGTTTAGAAGGAAATACCATCATATGGTAGACCGGAAAGACAACCTTTTCCTATAGCTTGACAGGAAATATCTCACTGGATATCACAGAACAACAGATCGAACAGTACACACACGACCATGAATAATTACCACGTGAACTGAGTTACTCGAAAAACTGTCCGCGCACTAACATATTGAAATATAACAGCGAAACAATCTGGACAATTAAAATTTCTTTTGTCAAGGGAATTCCATGAACTGTTAGGCCAGTCGGTGTGTTGTCAATCTAACCTTTCCTGACGGATCTTCAGTTTGTTCAAATAACTCGGTACGAGAGGGTGATCAGGAACTTTTCATTTTCAACCAACGTCAGGACTCGTGCGTTGATAGTCATGTCCATTGTGTGGATGGTTCTTTGTGTTGTTTGTATGACACAAGTTGTAGGTTCCACTCCGACAAGCAAGCGAAGGAGACGAGGCGCTGATGAATGGGTTGCAGCTGTCCGCGATAATATCTGTCCGTGGTAAGTGTGAGTGTCAGCTTTTTAATGGTCTTAAAGGTAAATTTGCTTTGATATCATTTATGCTCCACTTGAAGTTCTTGAATTGCTTGTCCACTGTGTTTTAAACCGTCTTCTCTACCATTTATAATCATCCATAACTTGCTTTTAAATTCTTTCGCAGATCAAATATTCAGCCGAATAATTCATGGGGGGGCGTAATCAACTGCTATTCAGACGTTTTTTGTTGGCCTAACTCAATGCACGGTTACGAATAGACATTTATGGTTTTACATATGAAGAAAATACGTTTTTTTAGTTTTGGGGGTCAAATTCTAAAAAGAAGAACAACAGACGAAAGGAAAACAGCAGTGTGTTATAATGGTAGATGACGCAGGGTATTAGTATGAAAGGAAAGGAACCTTGACACATACAATCATCTGGTAAAAATTCCATATTAAGGTCAATTACAGCTACCACGAACCTAACCCATGAAATTATAAAAAGGAAACAATTGACAAAATTTGCATATTGTTCAGACTCCACCAACTGCATTTCCAGTGTTTTAGTTTGTGGGGAAAATACAACAAGCTTACTAGCGTGAGTATCGAACCCACGACCTCCTATTTGTCAAACCAGACATATAGAAGNGGCGTAACCGTCCTCACCCCACCCAATCACACAGGTACTAGGTGAGACACAAAAGTAACAACTAGTACCTATCCCTCGCTCCACAGAAGCGGCCGCGCCCAATGAAAGTCAAGAAAAACCATCACCACAAACTTCCTTTCTGTTGAAACAGAGAGGGCAAGTTCGATCGGGAAGAAATTATCAACCAACGGTCGGTTTTGACTGGTAACCTATGC